AGCGCTCTCTCCACCAACACACACACGCACACACACACAGTCTCTCTCACCTTAATCAAAGTTGACCCAAGTGATTCTTTTTAATATTCCATTTTTATAAGGACATTCTCTTTAATTGGAATTAACTTCAGCTGAAGTCCTTCCAACCCTACCCACTCCCACGTCCAGCTGCCGATTGCCAATGTAATTTCCTTAGGATATTTTTCAGTGTTTAGTATGAGCTCTTCAGATTCAGATCAAAGAAGGTTTTTAGATGATCTGTCTTGTTTTAATTTAAGTCTTGGATTTTTACCCTACCTATTTTTCAGAAAGCAATCCAGAACAGCCTCAGATTATGCAGGTTGTTTGACAAACTACACCAAAAGTGGGGAAGTTAAAAGAAAGAAGAAAAAAACCCCTACCATCTAAACATAGTTTGATGAACAAAGTGCTTTCCTCCTTACATCCTCATTTATTTAAAAAACAAAACAAAACCAAACCTGATCTACTTCGCTGAATTCTCTGGAGATCTGTAACAGCAGAAGCCAAGTCACCTGACTACCTATTATAATCCCTAATTCCCATTCAAACTGTTTCTGTGATGTCAGCCAAAGTATTAGCATTATTCCTGCTTCATGCACAGTCTACTGGGCCATTAGGACTCAATCCTGCAAGATGCTAAGTGCCCTCAATGTCCACTCAAGTCACAAGGGACAGAGTGTATGCAGCACGACACTGAAGTGCTCAGCATCTTGCATGATTGAGCCCAGGCTGCATAAAATTCCCCGTGAAAATTGAGTAGCTGCTCAGAGTATAAAGAGGAGCGGCCTCCGCCCTGGTCCTGGATTTGCTTTCCCAGAACATCAGGTTTGTGCTGACAGATGTTTGCAGGACAGGAATTTCAGTCCGGTGCAAAGGGCAAGAGAGAGAACAGCACCATGTTAGCTAGATGCACTCTCATCCAGCCTCTGCCGCTTACCCAGCAGGTAGCTGAGACTCCAGAGACCTGTTCCCATCAAACCTTACAAAACAATTTTAAAGGAATCTCAGGTTAAATTCATTAGATAAAATGTCACCCCCAGGCTTTCAACCCTAACCAACAAACCACTTTCATTAAGCCTCTACTTTCTAATTGTGTATTCTATGCACCCAGCTCTCTTCTTAATTGTTGGTCTTGGTTATTCCACATAAAAAAATATTACAGTCATTAGAACACATGTAAAGTCATTCCAATTTGTGAATTTTCTGAAGCATTTATAATCAATGCAGATTGCTGTAACTCCATCTATTTTTCCTTAATTATTTTATATTCAGTCATCTGGGTTTGCCCGAGGCCCTCAGTCATATTATTTATAAAATATAAAAATATTAAATAAGATTAACATAGTTCCATAATTTGTTACATCATATTTACTGTACCACAGCCACACCCAGGCAATTGAGACTGTGTCCTCACTGTGCAGGGGGCTGTATAAACTCATAGGGAAAAGATCTCCCGTTCCAAGGCACGTGTAATGTAAATCAACAAGAGAAAGGGAACTGGAGCTCAGCAAAGCTACATGACTTACCAAAGGTCATGCAAGAATCTGTAGCAGAGCTATGAACTGAACATAGGTCTCTCAATCCTGATCCTTGACTTAGTACTAAAACCCACAGCTCTAGTAGCCTTTTCACTGCTGCCGTTTAAAAAAAAAAAAAAAAAAAGTCACTGACCTCAGCAAGGTCACACCAGCATAAAGTGGCTGTAGAGCAGAGAATCAGGGACATTCATTCTGAGACTTGAGCAGAAGTTTTTAGCTAGTATGACTAGGAAAAGCCAGCAAGATCATCCTTCAGGCAAAACACAAAGTTCTAGTCACTTGCAACTATTAAGGGGTCCTACTTTGAGCAGGGGGCTGGGCTAAATGACCTCCTGAGTTCCTTTTGAGGCCTAACTTTCTATGATTCGAAGGATCCCAAGACATTCGGTATAAAAAAGATGCTATCCCCAAGGCTGGTCAAATTCCCTTACTGCATTTCTCCATTAGTCTTCTACTTTCAACTTGATAGAATAATATTCTGCACTTCCTATCCTGAACTGCAGCGTAGCAGCAATGGGCACTGCTAAAACACTTCAGTGAAGCAGGAACGAGCCCTCAGAGATCTTTTACCTACTTCACAAGGTGCCAGGTATAGTTAATCCAGTTTTGAAAGTACTTTAAGATTTTTAGTTGAAAGGCCCTATAGGAGTTGCCAAGTATTGTGGCAAACTACTGTGTGGCAGTGCTTGTCCACATGTGCGTGGGCATCCTACTGCCCTCGGCTGCATACAGCCCAAACTGATCGCCTGTGTGGCATGTGCCCTCTACGGCTAGGAACAGATGGAGATTCTCCGCTGGCAATAGTGTTCCCTTTTAAAGTAGGAAGTCTCAGGACATACTCCTGCTGTCACCACGTTGGTGTGCATCATTGTGCCCACTACAAAAAGCTTGGCACCTAGAGATCTCTTCTATCGTTGTGACCGTCCACTTGGATTTTCAGTCTTTTGCCAGACCCTTCCCTACCACAGCCCCAAGGATATTTTAGCTAAGTTTTCCTTCTCTGCAGTGATGCTGCACTGAATCTTTGGTGCTAGATGCCCTTAGGGTCCAGTTTACTCCTTTGAAATTCCTGGTGTTTGAAACCATGTTCTGACATCTAGCTGGAACATCTGTCTTCCATCAAGATGGGTCCATCAGCATCAAGTATCGAGATTAGATCCATCCACATTTTACTCTGTCCCTGTCTAGACAAACTCAGTCTCCCAGATCAAGCTGCTTAACATGAAGAACGATAATTTTCCTTCACACAACAGTTTTTCCATACAGGTTTTCACAGACACTTAAAAACACTGACAGGTTTAGTCCTCAACACCCCCCATCAGTGGCCATCACATTTTACATACCAGGAAACTGAGGCAGGGGGAAGTTAAGTGACTTCAAATCACAGAATCATGGAAAATCAGGGGTGGAAGGAACTTCAAGAGGTCATCTAGTCCAACCCCCTGCTCAAAGCAGGACAATCCCCAACTAGATCATCCCAGCCAAGGCTTTGTCTACCCTGGTCCTAAAAACCTCCAAGAACAGAGGCTATTCCATGGCTTTATCACCCTACTAATAACAAACCTAAGCTTCCCGCATATCAAACCTAAGCTTCCCTTGCTGCAACCTGAAACTGTTGTGCCTTGTCCTGCTATCTGCCACCACTTGCCCTGGGCCACAGAGCAGGGAAGAGAAGGCAGAGCTTGCCCGAACCACTAGGCTATGCTCATCTGGGATGTTTTCATCCTCCTTGGATACCCAAACTGTGCCTCCCTAGCAAGGCAATCTAGCAGCCTGCTGCACTGCTGCTCTGCCTTACTGCTGTGCTCCAGGCCCCTCCGGCTCTGCCTCACTGGGCTGGTCTTAATCCACCCTTCAGCCCCAAGCCTCTTCTGTCGCTCTCTTTCTAAGACAGTAAACAAGTCATTTCTGTCAGGCTTGCTTTTTCCTTGAGATACTTACAGAATAAGGCTCTCTCCTCTCCCTTAAGAGGTCTCTCTTCCTTTATCCAGATAAAGCACCTGCCTAGGCCAGGCTCAGAGCACCATGCCCCCGACCGAAGCGGATGGATGTGAAAGCCTGAGGTCAAGGCTCTTTGCAAGAATCCATCAGAAGCTCCAGGGTGCCAATCCCCGTGGTGCCGCAGCTGCGAAAAGGAGATGCCTTCAGAACTAGATACGTCATGCATTTCCCACCCCAATTTGCCTCCATCCCACACAGACCTCTTGGCCTCTACCCCCCAAACCCCAGAGGCTAGGGCCCTACCCAAAGACTGCAGGGAGCTGGATGCAAGAAAACCTGTTTCCCTTCAAAGGTGCTTGCACCAAAAAGCTTGCAAAGGAGAATTCTTCCAACTATTTGAGCTGATCTAATAACAGACATCACATTTACTCACAGAACCTTGTCTGCCTATATCATTAGACCAACACGGCTAAAACCTGTACCCTATCGCCCTTCAAGCCGCACACCCCTTGGGAAAGACTGCGGGTGCATCCCCCAGGTCTGGCAGGTGGCACTTGGGCCAGCAGCCCTGCCCTCAGACAGCCACACCAGCCCTCCTGAAGTCCCTTCCAACCCTCGCTTTCTATGATTTACACCAGTCCATTGGCTGGCACACGATGACCCGCCACCAGCAGAGCCCAGGATTGTGGGAGCAAAAGCAGGGCCACATCTGGACACCCCTGGTGGAGCTCAGCACCACCCCTGGGGGCAAGTGCATCCCTGCTCCCTCCCCAGATGTGCACTGCTAGCTCCAGGCAGCCGTGGGAGGATGCCCAGGCGCTGCCGCTTTGCCCTGGCCGCAGAGACGGGGTCCCCGCCCTGCCCTTACCTGCAGACGCAGCCCGCACCAGCCGGCAGCGCCTGCTCCCAGCTGCGCTGCGGCGGCTGCGGCCCCTTTAAGGCCAGCGGGGGAGCGGCCCTGGCCCCGCGGGGGCTGCCGGGACATGTAGTCCCTCAGCCGCCGGGCGCCCCGCGGTGGAGCCCGGAGGAACTACAAGTCCCAGGGGCGGCCGCGGCCGCGCTCCCGCTCCGCCTCCTCCCGGGCTGCTGCCCCGGGCTCGGCTCCAGCGCCGGGAGAGGGGTCGGCGGAGCAGGTGGGTGCGGAGGGCGGCGGCGGGGGGTAGCCCATGTACCCTGGCTGGAGGGGCATCTTCAGCCCATTCTACAGACGGGGAGACTGAGGCACAGACTAGTCAAGGGGGGTACCTTCCCCAAGCCCATCCTATAGAAGGGGAGACTGAGACACAGAGTGGTCAAGGGGGGCATCTTCCCCAGGCCCATCTACAGAAAGGAAAAATGAGCCACAGAGCATTCAGACGGTTGGGGGGGGGGGCATCTTCCTCAGCCCATTCTGCAGAAAGGGAAACTGAGGCAGAGAGGTCAAGGCACCTGCCTCAGGTCAGCTGCCAAGAGAGACCGCGAGCCACGATTTCCCATGGCTGAAGGGCTGGGCAGTGCTGGGGCTAGGTGGGCGAGGTGCCTGTGGCTCAAGGGAACTGCAAATGCGCCGGTTTGTGCTGATGTTTCGAGGGCTTTGGGGTCCTCGCTGTCACCGCAGTCCCTGGCTGGCCTGTACGGACTGCGCAGCAAGCGTGCTGCCCCTTCCTGCTGTGGGAAGGAGAAAGGGAGCCGGTCCCTTAGTATATGCGGAGGGTTTAATTTGGCAAGTGGCTGCTGCTTCCCTAAGGGTTTGATCCTCTGGTGAAGGCCTTGCCGGTCTGTCTGCACGCCCTCCCCAGCCTGCACAGCCCTCTGCTTGCATTTGGGACGCAGGCAATCCGGTTGCCCTTTAGCCGGTCTACTGAGCTCCAGTTCTCAACAAGAATCGCCGGTGCTGTTTCCTGGACAGACTGCAGCCTCTGGAAGATCAGTGGGTTTTTTACGCACGCCTTTTTGGCACAGATAGAGCGGCTGTTCCCAGTGGTACAGAGTAGGATTGAGGAGTGGGGCCAAAGGAATCGGCGCTGTTATGAAATGATTGCTTCCCTCGTTCATGTTGCTTTGAGGTCTCCCTGGCAATGGAGTCCCTCCAGGCCTGCCTGGAGAGAGGACTTTCCAAGATGAAATCTTGGAAATACCCACATTTCCCCCCAGCGTATTACCCCGTGTTACAACAGAAAAACAGATTGATGGCAGCCCTCCCATTGAGTTGGGACAGGGAGGGTGGTGATATCCCTCTTCAGACCTGCTGAGAGATTGCAACCGCCCATCCCCACAAACTGAGATCACATCTATGTCGCTATACTCATGCATTGAGTTAGAAAAGAGGCAAGCCTTTCTGGCCTTGAGAATCCCACTTTTATAATGTCAAACCTACGCCTAGAGGCACTCCCAGTTTTAACCAAGCAGTTAACCACCAGGCCCCCTGTCTTTCACATTGTCTTGGTGGAAATATTTTTCTTCCTGCCCTGCAGCACTACCAGGAGAGAATGTGGGTTTTCCACAATGAACTTAATCAAGATAAGCACATACAAATACATAGTAAAGCCTACGCTCCAGAACTGAGACAGCAATGAGTGGGTGGCCCAACCACCGATACCTGCCAGTCCTGTTAAGCTATTCCCTGCAGATTGTGTTTTAACTCCTTTTTTATATCTTCCCGCTACCCTGAAACCTAGGTGTCACTGCTGGTTTGGTAGTGGTTAGGCAAGGGGTGAGCTACGTCTCAGGTATGTTCATTTTGTTTCTCCCCACCTCCCTTTGTGGTTACTCTGTTTTGTCAACCCATTGCAGCTTCTCTCACTGTAAGCTGTCCAGGGCTGCCTTTTAGATTATTCTTTACTTCCCCTGATCTCTCACTGGGGCCTCTAGTATTAATAATATGGGCCTGAAGAAGGACTAGGAACGAAATATGTTCAAAGACAGCAATAGCTGAAGTAGGGAAACAGGCTGGTGCTATTTGGTATGACCAGATCTCGGCTTCAAAGGAGATGGACTTTGTTCATGGTATTTTGTAGGTATTGGAATTTTTCGTTGAATCTGAAATGGACTGTTGCATAGTCTTAATTGTGACTTAGTCTCAGACCTCTGGCAGCAAGTGACATGTTAATGAACGTTAAAGCAAAATGAAGCCTGTAAGAGTCAAGTCAAGTCAGTCCCAAGGTCACTATGGCCGTTGGGGCACCTTAGACGCTGTTACAACCTTCCTCCACCCTATCCTGTGTTTAGCTAGATTTGTGCACTCTCGCAGTTGAAGCCCCAAGTCCTTAATATTAGTTCCCCAGCTCTTCTTTTTCTCTTTCCCTCCACTGCGCCCTGCGTTATGGTGCTGGCAAGTGTGTCCAAAGCACTGCAGCTTCCTTCGTTGCACAGTCTCCAACAATGGTTCATAGGTTCCAATTTCTTGACTGATTTGCTGCTTGACAGACTCATTGGCTCGGTGCTCAGTGTACGGGACTGAGCACATTTTAGAGCAAGTGAGTAATACATGAGAAAAGTGAGAAACCTTGGGCACGTCATCCAAATCAGAACAAGCATAATGTAAGGGGAGGTGCCTTTGGACAACCAGAAAGGCCGGCATATTTCACCTGGATGTACTCAAGAGAAAGAAACCCTATTCCAGCACTTTGAATAACCAAGCTTACTTGTCAATCCATATGTAATGTCTTTAGCTGCCAGTGAACAGGCGCACAGAATTTTTTCCACAGTTGCCTGTTAAATGGAAACAGCTCATCCCCTGCTAGTGGAGAAATATTTTCTATAAATATTCAGCTCATTCCTAGCTTGTCTTTTGTCCCAACTTTACTAAAATTACCCAAGCAACTGGGATTCTACTAGTTCCCTTGCCGTTATTCCAAAGGCAAATAGATCTGTTCTTCCTGATGCGTAGCATAAATGTTTCGTGCCTTACTTTCAGTTTATTGCCACTAGTAATTCTACATTGCAGCACCCTAAATAATTAATCTCCCTGTTTGTTGTACATAGGCTTAGCAAACCATCTGGAACACCTTGGTCTTCTCTTAAGCAAGCTGCACATGTTTAATTCTCTTAACTTTTCAGTGTAATGTGATCTCTTTCTCATTTTGCCGCACTGGGTTTAATTCCTTTTGCCGCAAATGAAACACCATGTAATCAGCCTGTTTCTATTTATTCTGTGGTACCCAAGCAGCCCAAAGTGTCATTGGTCACTTTTTCCTGCTGTACCACCTTGCAAATTAATGTTCAGTTTTATGTCTCTCACAGGATCCAGGGAAACCTTTCAAATTTCTACCTCCCAGCAAATGCCTGTGTTGGGGACTGTTTGTCCCTAGCCATGCTGCTTTACACTGTCAAACCAAAACCTCACTTGACTTCCTAATCTGATTAATTTCCTTTCACAACATTTCTCTGCCCTCATTGAGATTTACAACTCCTCTTAAGCTATTATCATTCCCCACATCATCAATGGGGCTGTTAAATAGGACCGTCAACATTGTGAAGGCATGCAGCTAGACACCTCTTCGCAACTGGCTGTGTCAAAGTGGATTGATTGAAATCATAGTGATCCGAATCACCAGTGTGAATCAAGATGTACATCAGCAAGAAAATTTTATTTTAATAACTATTCTAATGTTGTTTTGCAGTTGTCCTTTCTGCATGAAATTCTGTTTCCCTTTGCGCACCTATATGGCAGTTTTCCAGCTGCTTAGGTGGTGCTTTGGGCACTCATGGACAAGTTGAGATTTGTACACCTGCCACAGGTTAGAGTTGTCTTCTTCTGGGGCAATATGCCTTGTATTTGTGTGGTTTAGGAATAGGTTAGACAAGGACTTGGATGGGATGGTTTGGTTGGGGGTGATCCTGCCTCAAACAGGGGGCTGTACTAGATGACCTCCAGAGGTCCCTTCCAGCCCTACTTTTCTATGATTCGATGAGTCTGTTATCCCTGCCTGTTGCACACAGACTGAGCATGTACAGAACATGATGCACTAGCTGGTCAGTCAGTGAAGTGGGGGATATGCACTGAGTTTTGGTTATCTTTGGCTGCCAGACAATGAGATCTGTCCTGTTCAAGGAACATTGTGAAGATGGAAAATGGTTTCAGTAACTCGATTACTCAAAGTCAGGGGCAGGCAAAATACAGCCTGCGAGCTGGATCCAACCTGCCAGGCGATTGCATCCAGCTCGTGAGGCCTCTCCATAAGCCAAAAAAGTGATCATGGGCCCTGGCCCTTGGCAATGGCAATGAAAGCCATTGCCTCCATGCAGGTATGGCTCCAGCTGTTAAACGCCCAACCCTCATCCCAGCCTGGCTTCACCTGCCACCAGCCCCAAGAGAGGGGGTCCTGGAGACAAGAAGCTTCTGCCTGGCAGGGGCTTTTGCTTAGTGACCTCGTGGCTGTTCCCCAGCCCTCACTCCCTGGAAGTGTGGAAATTCAGGTAAGGGCCCCACTGGGCTGGGGACCAGGGACTCCTGTTTGGGGAAAGTGGGCCGGGAGCATGGGGAGCCAGGCTGGCCTACCACACTGCCACCATGTGTAGCCAAGGGCTCGGGCAGAAGTGCAGGAGCTGCACAGGATGGAGCTTGGTGGGGCTGGCCCTGCATCCTGCCACCATGTGCTACCAGGGACTTGGGTAGGAGTGCTGTGGGGCCCCAGGTGCTGCCGCTCCATACGGCCAGGGACGTGGATGGGAGGGTGGGGAGCTGCACGTTATGGATCCAGGTGGGGCTGGCCCTGCACACTGCCACCACATATGGCCGGGGACTTAGGTGGGGAGCTGCATGCCATGGGACTGGGTCGGGCTGGTCCTGCACACTGCTGCTGTGTGCAGTCGAGGACTCAGGCGGGAGCTGTGTGCTATGGGGTGGAGTAGGGCTGGCCCCACGTGTTGGTACCACATGCAGGGACCTATATGCTCCAGGGACTCCAAGGACAGCCCCCCCCCCCGCAACACCCTGCTACCCCCCACACTACACCCACATGCCCGACCACCCACCATACCCACACACACATCCATTCCCTCCCACACTTAGAGTCTAAGTAACTTGGCTCATTGCATGTAAATCCCCCTTTATAAGCCACAACTGTCTGTAGAACAAGAGGGGGAAAAAATCTGGAATCTTTATCCATTTGGGGGGCAACTGAGAGAGAGCAGATTTAGGCTAGATATCGGGAAAAACTTCTTCACAGTAATGGTGGCCAAAAATTGGAATGGGCTTTCAAGGGAGGGGGTGCTTTTTCCCCACCTTGGGGGTCTTTAAGAACAGACTGGGTAGACATCTGGCCAGAGTCATCTGACCCCAGCACCCTTTCCTGCCCAGGCAGGGGGTTGGACTCAGTGATCTGTTGAGGTCCCTTCCGACCCTAATATCTATGAATTGTCACCTTTACAGTCTTTGGAGGGCTGTAAAATACATATAGCTCCTGGAAGACAGAAGTAAAATATTTATGTGCAGAACAAATACATCTCAAGGTACGTTTGTGCTGTAGTGTAGCATAGAAATACCTGGGCTCATTTTAAATGAGCTGGCTTTAGAAGCTAGCAAACAGAACAGTCTAACCACAGGAACACAGAGCTCAGCCTGGGCCAAGACCCACCTGAGAAGTAGGTTATATTTGTGCTCTGCAATGTAGCTATAACCATGGGCTTGGAAGGGACCTTCTTCAGAGTTGAGCATATTTAGTCTCTGTAGTCCATATCTCTTCCCTACTGAAATTGGCAATAAAAAGGCCAGTTAGGGATAGAGGTTGTTTTGTGTCCATCAGAGCCGACAGACAGAAACTCTCTTGCCCCTCTCACTTATCCAAAGATACCAAAGAGCTGTTAGGTTAAAACCTGGAGTGGATGGAAAGCAATGACTGAGAGGTAAAGGGCTATAAAAGCTATTACTGAACCATCCAGGGGCCCTTTACATTATAACTCTGGACAGTCATGCCAAAGTAAAAGGTTGTAGCCCATAAATTGAACAAAACCCATCATGTTTTCCCCTTTAGCAACTCAATGGACCAGCAAAGAGCATAAGAGAGCCACAAACATATTGATCACATACAACAAATGGGCCCCTTCTCTCTGTGCAGTGGGATACAGGGAATCTCTCTTTGCTGATCAATCCAAGTAACAAAATCCAGTTGGGGCTGATCATATGGACATCGATGTTCATTCATAACATGTTTTTTTACATCCCAGTCATAAGCCCTTAGGGAAAAACATGTGTCAGTTAATTGAATGGCAGAACCAGGCCAAGCCAGCTCTGTGTGTTGATCTATTTTATTCATCTTCTCAATCTCTGTGAGCAGTGCAATGTGCTGACTCTTCAGAGGAGACTGAGTTAATGTTAAAAAAAAACAGTTTTATCCCATACCTGTTTTTTCCCAGGACTTGCCTTTTTAGGGTTAATAACAGGAATGTGTCTTCAGGTGCTCTTAGGTTTGTAGGGTGTGTGCAAGTGAGAAAGAGATATTCCAGTGCCCTTATTACTCAACAAAAAAATACATGCAGGTTGTCCTTCAGCTCTAGATATGCATAGGCGGCTAAGCTGGCACTCCAGAGATCTAGGATATACACAAGCAGATCTGATCCCCTCCAACTGTTGCTGTGCAATGGCATCAATGTTACAGGCTACTCTTCTTCTTCTTGTGTCCCCATCATAAACTAGATGTTTTTCCAGAATCTTGCACAAGCGATGGCCATTTCTGTTGCTGCAGCAAAGTCCTTCTTCCTACAGGTCTCGCCAAGGAGTCGGCAAAATGAGCAGGTTCTCCATGGTCTGCACTTCACTGCACTCGCATGTATTCATGTCAGTAGAGTAGCCCCATTTGATCATGTTTTGATCTTCCAGTTTGTGTGCACTTGCAGTTCAGGCATTGCCGCGTTGACCAGTCTGTATCAGCCCCCCCTGGGAAAGTTCTCCTGGGGTTCCAGCTTCATTTCAGGGCATCTGGTTGCACCTAATCTTTCCTTCCATAACCTCAGTTATGCCCTGCCAGCTGTCATGTCCAAGAGTGCAATAGTGGTCCCACAATTCTCTCTCGCTTTAAGCCATTTGATTACATTTGGTTGCTACAGATGAATGGAATGGGAATATGGGGAGGAATATTATTTTTGGCTTTGGCAATAGCTGGTAAAGAGAACTGGTTTCTTTTCTGGGCTCTTTCGCTGTTTTTCTCTGTGACCTTGGAAAAGTTGCTTAGGTCAATCTTTTAAGTGTGTTTGTTGATGAGAGTGCTAAATTTGGGATACTTGGGACCTTTTTTGGAAATGCTCTGTATCTGGTGTTGCCAATTGAAGTTGTGGGTGCTTAGGGGATAGCCAAAATCAAGTATACCGTGTCTTGCGTTAGGCACCCAGGATCTGAAATCTTCTCTCATATTTAATTTTCTCCACTGTGAAATGAGTATTATACTATAGCCTGTCTCTCTCTAGGATGTGGTGAGCCTCAGATGTCCTTTGATGAAAGGCACACCAAGCACCATTACTGTTAGTAGTTAGCAGAGAATTGATATTACAGACTGTAACACAATTATGTCCTCCCTACCTGTGGGAATGTGACTACCGATCCAATAATGGGGGCATGATGGCCCTGTTTGCTCTGTAACTAGTCACTGAAATGCCTGCACTTCAGTTTATTCTGAAGGGAGCCATTTGGCAGCTATCTATGGAACGACCACACTTACTGCAGCAAGAGCTACTTTGTGCCCCATAAGCAGACGCTGATGGTCTATGTGGGTTTTCTGCTGATTGTAAAAGATTCCTTTTAAGTCTGTTTGAAAGATGTGAAGAGCAAGGTAGGGGAGCCATTGAGTGGGCTGAGCTCAGCACACAGCTAAGAAAAAGAACATGAGACCGAGCAAAAGATATTCAGGCTAAGGGCCAGATTCTCAGCTGGTGTAAGTTGTGTCTCAGCTGACTGCTGCTTTGAATTACATCAACTGAGGACTGATTTCTGTTATGGTTTCTACTTCTGTTTCTGGTTTTCATTATAATAACTGCAGTATGTCTATGTGATAAATTAAAGTTTTTCACCCAAAGCGATGAACTCGAACACCTAAATGTGTGGTATTGGATTTTTTTTTCTAGGGTTATTCCCAGCATCGCAACTCTTCCATCATGTCTGACCCAATAACACTCAATGTTGGAGGAAAACTTTATACCACTTCCCTTTCCACACTGACTAGCTTTCCAGACTCCATGCTGGGTGCCATGTTTAGTGGGAAGATGCCAACCAAGAAGGATAGCCAAGGCAACTGCTTCATTGACAGGGATGGCAAAGTCTTCCGTTACATCCTGAACTTCCTGAGAACATCCCACTTGGACCTCCCGGATGACTTCCAGGAGATGGGCTTGCTTCGGCGGGAGGCAGACTTTTACCAGATCCAGCCGCTGATTGAGGCTTTGCAGGAGAAGGAGGTGGAGCTGTCCAAAGCTGAGAAGAATGCCATGCTCAACATCACCCTGGATCAGAGGACGCAAACGGTTCATTTCACCGTGCGAGAAGCTCCCCAGATCTACAGCCTGTCATCCTCCAACATGGAAGTGTTCAATGCCCACATCTTTAGCACATCGTGTCTGTTCCTGAAGCTCCTTGGCTCCAAACTTTACTACTGCTTCAACGGCAATCTCTCTTCAATATCCAGCTACCTGCAAGACTCCAATCACTTGACCCTGGATTGGGTGGCAACTGTGGAAGGTCTTCCAGAAGAGGAATACACTAGACAGAACTTAAAGAGACTTTGGGTGGTGCCGGTTAATAAGCAAATTAATAGTTTCCAGGTATTTATTGAAGAGGTGCTAAAAATAGCTCTGAGCGATGGCTTTTGTGTGGATTCCTCCCACCCACATGCCTCAGATTTCATGAATAATAAGATTATTCGATTAATTCGGTACAAGTAGAAAGGGCCCATTATTATGTTAACACCACAGAGGTAACTCAACACAGGTGAAGTGTTTCCTTATAAGAACCACTTCGGTACGCAGCCTAATATAAAACTATGCTAATCTGGATTAAGAATCGCTAACTGGGAGTTGATTTTTCCTTTAATATACTTACCATCATGACCTTTCAGAATGTCCATGTTTTAGATGAAAGTGATGTCATCTGGTGGCTTGAATCAAGGACTGGGTATTGAGAAGTCCTTGTTTCTGTTTCTGCCTCCTCTAACTTGCTGTGTAATTGTGGTCGGGTCACTTAATCTTTCTCTTCCTCAGTTTTCCCACCGGAAAACAAGGATAACGGTACTCAGCCTATCTTGTAAGGAAGCTGTGAGGCTTCAATACTCAGTGTTTGCAAACCACCCTGAAACCATCCAGTGCAATGGCACTATAGAGCTGCAGGCTAACACTGGCTTGATGTTGCACTGCCTTGCATGTTGTGTCATCTTTTGCATGAGTGCAAGGTGGGTATCAAATGCAGCGAGACCAGCAGGATAGAGGTTTCTGATCTCATCCTCCCTCCCTTGCCCTCTCGACACACCCCCTACACAGGTGTATGTGGCTATGCAAAGCATGAAGAGCAGAATCGGGTCCGCTGTGCTTAAACCAAAGACTTCTTTTCCCCGCAGGGCTGGCTAATTTTCTTTCCCCTGCCATGAACGTTCAGCCCTATTCTTCTGCCCGGGAAACTGTGAGAGATTTGTATCACAAGTAACAACGGATGCCATGGCAAGAGGAATAATGGGATCCAAGAACTGAGGAGAATGTGGGTTTTGTTTGAAGTGGCTGTAGCTACTGTTAAACCAGCTGCTCCCAGCCTTTTCACAGCAACCCTGTTTCCAGGTTAATGACTCCTCTTCCAGTCAGCTTGTGCCCTCAGTTCTGGCTGAAGCTTGATAGACACAGTAGAGTTTCCTCACCCCATTTGCGGTGGTGACCCCTTTGCTTGAGAAAAGCAGCAAGGATTCAGAATAGCAGAAGTCTTCACTGCATTAAAGGTGAATAGATATAGTCTCTCCTGTAATGCCATCTGTGGAGAAGACATACTTTATTTCAGCAGTAATTAAGAAGATGGAGAATGGCAGCCCCCAAAAACATTCTAAATATGCTTGAGCCACTTTTACCTGTGCAGTATTGCCAACCCTCATGATTTTTGGCATTGTTCTTAAAGTCTGTGCTTCGGGGATGTGAAAAACTTAGCTTTCTTTTATATTTATATACAAATACATATAAAAGAGCTAAGTTTTTTTCACATTCCCAAAGCACAGACTTTAAAAACAACGCCCAAAATCTTGAGATTTGGCAATACTGCCTGTGCCTCATCAGTTCTGTCTGGGTCCACTTGCTTGGTGGAGACATGTACTATATTAACAAGGGTTGTGCTAAACATGGGTTGCCTTTTGGAATAGATCTGGTCCTTTCTAGAAGGATCTACATTCAGTTTTTCTAGTTACTTTTCTTCCATAAAGACCCAATTCTCCCTCAGTCCTGCACTTTGGACCACATGCTACCAAGCCAGAACAGAAACATTTTGGGCTTCCTTGGCTCTGAGGTAAATGACTGCACAAGATGCAGGGCAGTGAAGAGCTATGGCTGGAAACAGCCAAATGCTGTTGCTAAAGCCCTTGTTCACAGTATGGCAGGCAACTTTGTTTGGGCAAATGTGATCTCTTTTATTAGACCAACTAAATAACTGGAAAAATTGTTCTTTGCAAGCTTTTGGGCACAAACACCTTTCTTCAGGCATAGGGAGAGTCTGCTGGTGTTTTGTGTTCTCCTTGTTCACACTATAACTTTTCATGCAGTTTGCAATCAGCTGGTAGTTCCCCAAGGTGGTAGCTCACATCTGTTGCCCTTGCAAGCATCTGAGTCTGGCAGTGGGCTCTCAAATCAGGTTTTAACTCAAGTATTGCTTGCACTGGTAAACTCTAGAAAATCTCCCATTGTCTGTCATGAGAAAAGAAGATGCTCTGGTCCAGAGGGCACCCCATAACCAGGTTTCATACTTGGTACTCTTATTTCCTCCAGATGTTTTTTTTAAAACAGGCCTGTGCTTTCCTGTCAAGCCAAGACTCATCCCAGTCCTAAAAGAGCATGATGTGGTACTGAAACATTGAAGTCCCCAGCAGGACGTTGTGGAGGAGCTGTGTCTGGTTGCTGTTATTAAACCACGAAGATCCATGCAACTCTTGCTCTCTTCTCTGCATTTACTGTAGAGATTACAAACAAGGCAACGTCTCCTGTGTCACTGCTAACAACCAGATGTTGCAGCAAGTGCTGCTCGTGACTTCATATGTATTACAGCCTGTTTTGAGTCAGCAGTGAAACAACACCCCAGTACGATACAGCTGGCACCATGCTGCTAGAGGTTCTGTCTTTTGCACGGATGTAAAACAGAGGCCCTGACCCAGCCGTTAAAAATCACTTGGCAACTTTCACAACATTAAGAGGATTTTAATCTGCATGTTTTGGCCTGAGTCCAAACTTGAGTAATTGAGTCCTTCCAATTTAAAAGTTATCTTGCAGTTTCAGCTGGATTGGGAGGTGTTTTTCACTCCTGATACTAAACTGTAGTAGAGTATTGCAGTAGTATTGTAGTAGAGTGTGTACAGTTAAACAGCAGCCACGTTCCACTTCAAAGGGTGGTTGGTACATGTCAGTGAGGAAGCAAGGCAGCTTTTGTGTGAATCTAGTTCATAGGATTAGTTTGTATATAAGCTGGATATTAATGCGTGTTAGATTATTTGGATAATGTCACATCATGTGCCTTAAAACAAATAAGCAGACAAGGTTACCTTGGATTTAGTACTGTTGGAGGCCTTAAGGGTACACTGGAACTTTACGCCAGCCCCTGAGCACAGATGTCAATTTACAACTTCTCTAGCAGGCATTTTTATATGTTAAGAGCAAAGGAATAGTCAACAGTAGTCCTTGGTTTTCCTGTACTTTTTTAATTCAATAGGGCTCAAGGCAGTAGGGCAGATTCCAAGCTAGCTCTGGTGAAGTCTGGCCTGATATGTCCTCAATTCTGTTTCATCAAAAGAAATCAACATTGTCATAAGCCTATTTAAATGTGCAGCAGTGAGAAGGCAGGCACCAGGAACACTGTTGTATAGATGAACACCAGCCACGGGAGCTGGAAAAGGTGGCAGCTGTACACCTCAACCTCCATCACAGGTCAGCACTGCAGAGCAGGGCAGCACCCAGGTTAGATGACAAGCTGGTGCCTTTGCATCATTCAGATGGTATAAATGGTACTAATGACACTACAGCTGTTAATATTCCTCCATCCATTTAGAGACTGTACGTAGACAGTGAAAAGGAGCTTCCTTTGCAGTGTTTCTCGAAATAAGCAGCGAAGAGAATGAATAGCTGTAAAAGAGAACTCCACCTCCGCTAAGAGGAAAGGGATAGGGCTGTGATAAGCAGGGATCCTGGTTTTCCCAATTTAAAACAATCCCCAATTTTTGGTTTAAAAAAAATTACCCCCAAATCTACATTTTTCTGCGATTTAAGTGAAATGCCACTAATATATTTTCGATATATATATATATATTAGTGGTTCAAGTATTGCTTGCACTAGTAAATTGCACTATATATATATTTGATATATATTAGTGGTTCATTTTAATTACGGAAAAATGTGGATTTGGGTTTACTTCTTTTTGTTTTTTTTAAATTGGGGATTTTTTTAAATTGAAGAAAACCAGGATCCCTTATGACAAGGCTGCCTTGAAAAAGCATTAACCTGTAGCCAGCTCTTCAAAGAGTGGAAGATTGGAGTCTAATCTTTGATGTGATTTTCTCTGTGGCCTTGGACAAGTCACACAGTCACTTTGCCATTATGATTTCCCTCATAAAGCAGAGAGGGAAATGTTACGGGCCTCCTCAATGAGTTACAAAGCTTAATTAATTAGTGCTTGCAAAACCCATGGATTTAGGAATTCTAAGTATTAACCTCTTTAAATGGTAGGATCTAACAGTGAGAGTTGTCTACGGGGAAAATCGCTTTCTTGTCAAAGCTGCCCTTAAAGAGGATCAAAATGAGCTGGTAAGGCTAGAAACTTAGGATGGAAATGAGATGAGACCAGTATTGGTCTAGTGAAGAAAGGCCTTGTTCACACATATACCTCTTTGATTATCCTGGTATAGTTAATACCAGAAAGCTTGTATCTGCCATTTACACTGGTATAACTTGTAACTGTAACTCCTATTCTCTTATTTAGGGGAACAGGTTATAACAGTATAAAGCAACTATATATCAGAACTGCATCCACTTTGCTTTTTACTAATTTACATCATTCGTGAAAACCAGATCCCTCACTGGAATAGTGAAATTCATCCAGAAAACCTGGGTAGACCTGAGCCTGACCCCTCATTGCTGTGAACCTAATGTCCCTGGCCCATATGCAAAGTGGATGTAAAACACTATTCACTTGTGATGGAAGAGCTTGCCACAGCCCTGGCTTTGAGAATCACATGCCTCAGTTCTGTTCTTGAATCCCCTGCTGACTCACCGTGACTAGGTCCCGGTGCTAATACCATGCTCCAGAGGAGTGTCCTCATGCTCGTTGGTTGGTTGCAAGCAGACTGCTCCTGAACCAGCAGTGTAGTCACATGCGCAGAGCATTTTGAGCAAGCTAATTAGCATTGCTGAGGGACAGTGTCAGCTTGTTGTCATGCTCGTTAGCTCAAACTGTTGCACTAGGCAGACATAGCTAGCTTGCTTCTGGTTTAGGAAGTGGCCCATCTGAAACAGCACAGCATGCCTGAGGTGGCTACTCTAAAGTGAGGCAAGTTACACACAGATACAATCTGTGTATCACAGGCTTCCTCCATCTGCAGTGTGGGGATAAGTCATACTTACTTATCATAGTAAAGTGTCAAGAGACCCCACAAAGGGAGACTGTTAGGACAGAAATGCACCAGAGAGTCAGACTAGACAGTAAATAGGGTGTGATCTAATGACACAGTGTTATCGCTAAACAGGGGTGTACATTCAGTCCAGAGGGATCTTCTGCATGGAAAAGGTTATTATACAGCAGCTTATTACAGCCCAGAAAAGACCACTCTTCAAGTTCTGCATATGCCACTGGGATCATTAAACTGACAGGTAGATGCAGTTCTGAGATGATTAAATGAAATGGGAGATCGTGGGAAAGTAGGGTCAGAAGGGACCTCAGGAGGTCATCTGGTCTAGCCCTCTGCTCAAGGAAGATTTGTCCCTGACCAAACAGTCCCAGCCCAGCGCCTGTCCAGCCTGCCCTTGAAAATCTCCGGGAATGGAAATGATACATGAAGAGTTGCTATGGGAATTTAATTTGTATAACTGGGGGGGATTCATGGGTGTTAACAGAAGGTAAGAGTGGGGGTTGCTACTGCCTGTGATAGTAGTGAAATGAGCAGGCGTGGTATCAAGTTAGAGGTGAAGAAGTGCAAATATGAGGACTTGTCTTAAGAAGGAAGAGGGATAACTGGCCTGGATGTGTGCAGGAATAGCTTAGAGAAAATGCTAGGAGAACTGATAAAGTTGAGGAAGATTCTGCTATGGATGAGAGGTCTGACACCTATGATTTGTAATGGTAATTTCATGACATTACGAAATGTTCTGGTAATTTGACAGTAGCCAGAGAGCAATGCCTGATTTGCACATGAATGTGTATCAAATGTATGCAGGGTGCCAGCTGCTTGTTCACTTATCAAGGCAGAGGATTACAAGAACTGCTACTTGTTTGAGTTCAATAGCAATAAGCACCTGTAGTTAATCAGATTTATTCTCATGCTACCAGAAAGATGGCCGTGTATTAGGTGTAAAGAGGGTGAAAGGTTTTACCGTTGGCCCATGCTGTAAGGACTCTGCTACTAACAGCGCTTTGTAAACTAAACCCAGGATCTTTTCATGCACTGATGCTTCCCAGACAAAGGAGAAGCTATGAAAGTGATTGTTGCTTTTACAGATTCCATTAGACTTAAGTGTAGAAAATGCTACTTGTTTGTTTTAAAACATGTAACTCTCCTAATACAGCAGGCCAAATGCAGAGCCACCCACAAAAATGGCCAAACGCCTACAGTGCAAAAGCAGTGTTCATATGTAGCCCTTTCCAGCCAAAGTCCTCTGCATGAATTATTCTAGACAGGACTCTACCTACCATACCAAGAGCGCATATGAGCATAAACATGCAGACTATACCTTACAGGAAAGGCCTCTAATGTGGAGAGTCTGAGGAGCGAGTGGTCCACCTCCCTGTATATTTTCTGGAGAAAACCAAGAGCCATGAATGGAAAATATTCCCTCCTTATTTTCTTACTGCTGACTGTAGGATTTTCCATTTGGTCAGAATTTGGTTCTGCATTTGCCGTGATAACTGTATGTTTGACTTGATAAAACACTGTCTTAAGTTTCCTCTACCCCTTACACAACTCTTGCAGGACTTTTACTTCTGGTTTCCTACCATTTTGTCTTCAACTGTATCTCTTCCAAACAACGCAATTAAAGTGTGCTTTAAAAACAAGGTAATAATATATGATGACTGATGCACTAAACACTGTGCTGGCCATCAGTTTGTTTGCTGAACAGAATGCAATGTTGTTTTCTGCAATGGTAGCTTGTTTCTCTCTAGAACTTTATAAAATACATGATCGCAGCACTGTCATCTGCAATTCACTATTGCCAAGAGCTACACCAGGAACTGCAGATCCCTACCAAGAACAGCATGCATACCCATTCAGAGCATTGTGCATGAGGGTGAACTACCAGCCACCTTAAACAATAACCAGGCCACGTTGGCTGCATTGGTCCATTTAAGTTTAGACCAATTATTATTTGAACAGCTTAGTTCTTTAGTGGAGACTTCTATAAAGATGCAACGTTACAGCTGTTCAACTTAAGCTTCTTTATAGTTCCAGAGTTTGAACAAGGAGCTGCATGATGTTAATGTGGAGCTGTTGCTTACAGAGAAAAAAGCAGTTATAATTATGAATTGTATTAATGCAGCACCTACAGGCTGTTTCCAAAACACCTAATAAGATGAGATCCTTGCTGCAAAGTTGCTCACAAAGCAGCACGCAAAGTATCACCCTCCTAAGCAAGTCTTGGCATGAGCATCAGCAGTTCCTCAGGTAACGATCTTGAATCTGCAACACCTCTACAAGTACTTCACAGCTACACATGGCAGCCCTTGGCCCTTAGTGGCCCTTACTGGAAATCAGGTCCAGCTGGAGCTGAACTGGTGCAGCATATTCCAGAGCAGTTTCTTCAGGATGAAAGGAAACCACAAAGCTAACGCAGCTGCATCCAGCTCTTCTCTGCAGTGCCCTGCTTTGACTTAGCTAAAAGGGAGGCGCACACCCAATGGCAGGGAGGGGCCATCACCAGGGATGACTATACTGTGGTTGCTTGGGGATGCAGGGGGGTCAGGGAGGTCAAGGCAGAGATGGGACTAGCTTCCCGGATCAAGGACAACAAGAAATCCTTTTTTAAATACGTAGGGGGCAAAAAGAAGGTTCCAGGTAACATGGGGCCCCTGCAAGACACACTAGGAAATCTGGTCGTCACACCAGACAACAAAGCTAACCTATTTAACGATTACTTTGCCTCCATTTTCCTGAGCACAGCCTGGAACAGCCACCCCCCCTCTGGGCCCCCCTGAGATCCCAGGGGAGGCGCACCTAGGCCACAGGTTAGCGAGGAACTAGTTAGGGAACTTCTGGAGGGACTGGATGTA